TCACTGTCAGTTTTTAAACTATTTTTTTCCCAGTCAGTTTTCTTTGTGTTGATAAATGTATAATAAGGAAAACTGAACAGTTAAATGAAAAACTTATATGGTAACTAAAGTTATCTAAAGATAAACAAATATAAATGGATGCGGAGTGGAGCGTTTATGGAGCAGATACGTTAAAGGGAGGTTATGATGCGAGTGTAACTAGTGTTAACTTAATACACCCTGTAAATTAAAAAAAAAAAAAAGTTTCAAAAGACAGACAGCAATTTTGTTTTATTACAATCAAACCGCAGACGTTTCATTAGGACCTCAGGAAATTAGGTGAGTTTGTTATTTTGACTGATTTGACTTAAAGCCTACAGATTTGTATCCTACAGCTGTGTGTGGAACCAGAGTACTTTCACAAATAAAAACAAAACATTTTGTAAACTCGTGTGTTTTTAAAGAGTTGGAGCTTCACCTGTCTTCTTTGTCTTGGCTTATTTACAGTCAAACTGCCTTTTGTTCATGTCCCCTGCAGTGCACTGTGCATCTCAGTTAGTTTTATCATCTTTTTTTGTGCTCTTCAGCTGACTAGGGCCCATATATTCAGAGCTTTAGTTGTGGTATGTGGTGAGAGCCAAATTAACACTGCATGTTGCCATATGAGAGCCTGAAGTACAAGAAACACAGAACAGATGGATACCAGGGTCTGGCTGTTAGAAAAATATTTTCCACCGATGTTGCAAACACCTCTTAATGTCATTTAGAGAGAGAAATAAGCATGCACTAAAATATAAACAGAACCAGGCTATCACAGACATAAACATATTTTGCATTTTGATGTTTAACTTTAACTCTATTGGTTTAATGCAGCAGAATTCCAGGGTTCGTCTTTTCTACGAGCAAGTTGTGTGTGGAGAATTCAGGTTTTGTATTGCATGACCTTGCTGAGACGGTAAGAATTGAACATTTAGTGTATCGATAATTGATCCAAATATAATAAAAAAATATGTCTTCAACAGGAGCACAAAGGAGCTCTGAGAGCAACAGGACACTGCATTGGTACACACCAGCATGAAATGAGAGCATGTGGGAAAGATTAAGGCTAGAGCTGGAACAAACACATGCAAACGCACAAACACGTACACACACAGCTGAACTGAGATGAGAGGGCTATGATTAAGATGAAGGCTGCAGGAGGCCTGAGGAAGCACATCAGACTGTTTTCGTTTGTGGGAATTGGGAACTCACTCTGGAAGACTGAACACCATCATTTTCCAGAGAGTTGTCTCTCTGATATTAGGATAGACAAAGCTGAGAAAAAGACACCGACTCAATGTACAATGTACATTTAAGCATTAAAAATGAGGAGTTCATCAGGATTTTTACCGAATACTCCATAAAGTTCATAAGAAGGCAGGGATATGAGTTCTGTATCAACTTATCCACAAATGTCCGGCATAAAAGCAACAAGACAGGACTTTTAGGAGTTTTTGAAAAAAGTCTCAGACGACATCGAGGACTTCTGCCTTTTTCAGCTGACAAGACAAGAATCACTTCTGCAATGAAAGAAAACTTGAATTTGCTTGGCTTTCTGATTTTGTCACTTAACTTGCAAAACAACACAGACAAAATTTGCTCATAAAATTGCATTTAAGAGGAATGTTACAACAGTGGTGCTTATGTCTCACACACAAAGGCATTTAAATCGAACTACATGTACCGGTACCTTATTTTATCCTAACTCCATCTAAATGTTGACACTATATCAGAACACAACGTCTCCCTCCCCCTTAAATGTTGTGCTATTTTAGGTCCAAATGTGTGCTAACATTTCAGAATATGCAGAAGTGAAAATGACGTGAATTTCTATAAAACTTACTGGACGAAACTTTCACAGGTGGCAAATGAGTGTGTTGCACACACACACACAAAATAATTCATATTTATTGTGGCTTTAAATTTAATTTTTGGTTTTAAAATCTGCTTGGTTTACACAGAAAGCAACAGTGTATTATGTTGCTTAAAATATGACTGCTATGGCATTTTCTGAGGAGCTCTGCCTTGATTGCTCTTTTCTCATGTAAAGGTATTATCAGTTTTCACTCGGCTTGTCCTGTTGGGTTAAATGAGCTCACGGAAATCACTTCTGTTTCTCTCACACGCACATAATAATAGTTATAAATAAATAATACACATGAGCACAATCCATTTTATATGCACTGTGAGTACACAGGCTTCCAAAAATTCAAACAATTCACAGAGGCGTGAAAATCCATTTTAAATTAGCAAAAAGTACAACTTTACAGACTTGTCACAGCCCATGGTCACACAAGTTCATTTTGGGCAGGTGTTTAATTAACTGCTTTTCGGGTGTAAATGCATGTATTTTTTTCTAGCATATGTAAAAACTGTAAGGATACAGCTTCACAGCTCCCCTTCCTTTTAAGGCCATTTTCAGAAGCTTATCTATCCGTCCTGCCAAGATTAAACACACTGCATTACACACGCTAAGAAGAGGGAGAACATTGTGCGCAACAATGCAGTTTAGCGAATTAAAGCTTCACTGCAAAGAACCAGGCAAATTCTTCCAATGCCCCCCTCTTCTGTACAAACAAGCATTCAAGAACGCTCATACACACAAAACTCTGCTTCTGCCATCATCTGAATTACCTCATGCACATGGTTAAAGCTGCAGCTGCCTGAAGAGCTGAGGGCTGCTAAATTAAAAATAACAACAAAAAAATACAAAACACACACACACACACACACACACTGGCTTTTTATGAACCTCTCCCTGTGCCTGACTCCAAATCTGCAATCTCTGTGAGGAGGCTGAACTCTGCACATCATTCAAACTGGCTGCTCTGATTACTTGTTAGGGGATCTTAAGAGACTGGGTGTGCAGCCTCAGAGCTGGAGCCCCATCTGGAAATACTGCAGGGTTTAATTCTGTGTGGGGACCCAGGCATGCATATTAGTAAAAAAAAAAAAAAAAAAAAGAAAGAGATAAAGAAAAACATCCTGCTGTGCTGTGGTGAGATGTCAGCAGGCAAAGTCAGAAGAAGACAACCATTTTATATTGTATGTTTATAAAACTTGATGTAGATACAAGTAAGCAAAACAACGTGAAATTTCAAAAATGTGACATTTCTTATGTTTTCTGATTGGTTTTAATAAGTTAAAAAGAACAGAAGTTGTGACTGGCTGAAGCAAACCCCAAACAAACAGGAAAGAGTGTGGGAGGTATATCTACACACCAAAGAGTAAAAGAATGTGACGGGCTGCAGACTTTTAAGATGCATCTGAGCGCAGAAATGACACATTGGAGACAAAAATCAACTTCAATACTTTAAAAAAAAGTGAGTGCATTTAAACTAATGGGTGCAAAAAAAAAATTATATGAATAAAATCTTGCTATTTCTTGAATCTTCTTTGCCTAAATTAAAGGATGCTTTACTTATAAACATGAAAAATTATTAAATGATTGAGTTTTTACAGTCAAGTTAAACTGAGATAAGTGTTACGTGTGATGAAAACTACCTGAAAAACTTGCAGTTCTGTGAAGCAAATCTGAAACCTGGGAGCTTGTCTCGTTTTGTCATGTGGGAAACGTGCACCAAAAGATGCCTTCAAGATGTTAATTTTTTTTTTTTTTTTAAAACACCGGAAGAGAAAATACATGGTTTTAAAAAGGAGGAGGGGACGAGGACCCCTTCAACTAAAACAGCTGGAAACAAACAAACAAAAAACATTTACAGCTGTAGTCTTTATGTGTGTGCTTATGTTTGTGTTAATTAGCATCACTGTTGGCAAACTTATATTAACAAACCGTTTTAAGGTTTCTGTGGGTGTTCAAATTATTGACACAAATAGATCTTGCAGTCTCATCTCATACAGATATGAAACACAAGATGAGGAACCTGCCAGATGTTCAATGGCTGAGTTGTGTGCAGACTTCTGAGAAGTAAAGCACATTTTTGAGAAAGCAGTCTTGTGAAAGCAGGTAACTTCTGCACTGAGAGCAGAACATGCATACAACTGTCGAATAGTGTCAACAAAATCTGAATGTGGTGTTTAGTTGCTGAACACCTTGTCACACCAAAAATATAAATATAAAACAAAATAGCAACAAGTAAAAACCATCGTCACCTGCAGACATGATAAAAGACAAATTCAATAACTTGTGAATATTTATTTGCTTCCTCACGTTCTTATATTTGCAAGTATTCAGAGTTTATTTAAATACTACCTGAAATACTTGCACTTAGCCAATGGCAAGTTATACAAAAAAAAGTTATGATTGCAAACAATGAACAGTTGTGAAAGACAAAATCAGTTGCCTTGGTGTGATAAATGGTGTGCTGTGGTCATCTTTTAAAGCAAAGGCCATGTTTAACCTGACAAATCGAAAACAAATGATCGGTCGTGTGATCAGTCATGAAAGTAGCATGTTCTCTATGTCAGTGCTTTCAAATATCACCACCCCTCCTTTTCTGAAAAAAGTCAAAAACCACCATGAGAGCAGAAAAAACTTCATGCTCGTCAATAAAAACCATGTCATGAGAGTTTGAGAAAGTAGATTTCCTGTAAATCACATCGACTGTCAGTATTCTAATCTTGCTTAAAAAAAAAATTCCAGGGCTTATTTATCACAACGCAGTGATTGCTGTAGATCAGCTGTTTGTTACGCTAAACATTGATGAATCTTGTGACTTGTAACTAGAAGAAACCAACCCTCATCCATAATTTATATATCTAAACTCTTACATTAAAAAAAAAACCTGTGGTTTGTGTGGAAACTTTCCAGTAACTTTTTATTATTTAAGAATGCAATATAGAGTAAATTGAAGTTTCTGCAGAAATCAGCAGAAAAAACATGCCGTCTCCTTAAAAAGCATCGTCATCAACTGTTTGTGTTGCACCTACAGGAAAAAGTGATGCCAAAACTGCAGTAAATGATCCTGAAAGATATGCTCGATTATAAGGGTGTGGTAATCTCAACAAGCACGTGTTTCTACCTTTGGAGGATCGTAGAGCTCCAACTGGTACCTCTCGCTCCCTCCTCCACTCTGAGTATCTCTGATCCTCCTGACCAGCAGGCGGCAGCGTTGCCAGTGGGGCTGAGAGTCCAAGATAGTGTCATCTACCAGCAAGTACTTGAGTTGGCCCTCTTTACAGCAGCCACTCCCCTCTGGCCTCCTCTGCCTCATGCTTCTGCTGCGAAACCACCGGAAACCATCGAGGAGGTGAGAGACCACGCCAGGCCGATTTGAAGCAGCTGTGGGCGTGGCTTCAGAGATCACAAAAGAGGATGAATGTGAGGAAGAGGATGAGGATGACCCTTCCTCGCTGGCGGAGAAAATTCCACCCACTCTGTGACCATTGTTTGGAAGATTGCTGTTGGTGGTGGTGGGGTTGCTGGGGGACAGGTCCTGGGACGAGCGGGGGCTAGAGTAAGTTCGTTTTTGAAAAAGCCGTCTTACTGTCTGCTGGATTTGGCTGACAGAGAAATGTGTGACGTCACTGAGTCCAGGGCTGGAGGCCAAGGACTCGGAGGAGTACCGCTCAGACACCTGGTGACGATCAGCGCTGGAGATTTCATCATTGCTATGGCTGTGAATCAACAACGACCTACTGCCAATACTGAGAGATTCCGAAAAGGAGTTTCTTGCAGCGCATCTCAGTGGCTGCTCCCGCTCCCGGCTCACCACTGACTCCACCTTTGGTGCCACGGAGATTGGAGCAGCCCCTCCACTTGGCCTGCCCGCCTCCCTATAGTCCTGTGCCCCTGACAAAGATGAGATCCGCAATCGGCTGTTCACAGTGTGCGGTGGAAGAGGGGAGGCCAGTGAAGATGTGGAGGAGGCACTAACAGGAGCAGCAGTGCTCTGGCTGAGTGGAGTCCCATCTTTGTCGACTTCATAGCCAAAGTGGTGCTGGAAAAGGTCAGTGAAGTGCTTGGAAAAGGCCTCTGGTGGGACCACGTCATGTTGCGGATGCTCTCTGGCAAAGCTCCGGTAATGTCCAGCCAGCTGTCGAGCTGTGGCAATGGCATGCAGCTCGCAGAACTCCCTCCAGCCTCTTGGGGGCACTGCTACACTTGGACCTCCTCCTGCTGAAGTGGTGTTGGCTGGATGGATAGTGTTACCATTCATTGCAGTAACCAGAATGGATGAGAATCACTGCGGACACACAAAGAACGTTGAGGAGAGACAGAAACACGTGTTACAGGAGAGTAGTTGGGGTTCAATCAAGAAACAAGTGTGCAGAAAAAAAAAGTTTGGCAAAAATTTTCAAAATAAATAAAAATTTAATAATAATAATAATAATAATAATAATAATGTCATCACAATGTCAGCACTGTATGTTTCCATACAATGGCGAAATTAGTCTCTGCATTTAACCCATCCACCACCAGGTGGTGCAGTGGGCAGCTATTGAGGGTGCCTGGGGGGCATTTTGGGGATGAGGCGTGCTGCCCAGAGACACCACGTGGTATGCAGTGACTGGGGATCGAACCTGGGACTTTCGGGTCCCAAGCCGGCTGCCCTGCCTCTACACCATCTCGGCCCCTGTATATCAGCATACCAAATATTGTACAATAGCCAAAGCTCTAAAATGAAATTGGCTAAACGGGCACATTTTTTTAAGCACTTCAACATTTTACATGCTGTTCAAACATTAAGAAAGTGCAGTCGATTTTATCAGCGCTCCATTATGAATGGTACAAAGTGGATTTTCTGGGTCTGCAAAATATCTGGCAATCAACTATTCCTAAAGTGTTCTTGTAGATAAGACCTGTCCCAGTTCACTCAAAGGACAAAGGTTTTCCACAAACTATAAACCATGAACTTGTCAAATGAACAAAAACTATAAAGAAGGTACTTAATACAATCATGTTTATGGATTAAATTTTGGTATTAATGAAGTAATGAGGAGAGTGAAAGTAAATAATAAATGTTATTAGTAACTCAAAACGGCACAGACACTGACTGGAGTATTTAAAATGAATATGTTGAATAGACAGTGAATGAGGTGAATCAGTTGCACTGCATGCAGAACAATCTGTCTGGGTCTACGTGTTTCAATTCAGTGTTCCTTCTGCTTTTCTGTTCTTCCTAAGATATCAGCAGGCTTAAATAAAAGGACATTTGAGATAAAGACTAAGATTATTCAAAGCTCAGCCTAATAGTTGTGTTTGACCTTTTGTAAACAGGCAGTTCAGAAGTGTCAGTAGAAAGCAGAACTAAATGAAATCTGTCACTAATAATCTCTTTATTTTTTTCATTCAACCTTTATTTAGACAGGTAAATCACATTGAGCCTCGAGGACTCATGTACAAGAGAGACCTGATTTCAACAAAGAATGATGACAACAATGGACAACAGCGACAACAATAGACAGTTATAAAAAGGCATACGGATTTTTTAATTTTTATTTTTATAACGAATAGGATGGCTAAAAAAAGAAAAGTAACAAAAAACAGCTAGATTCTAAGGCGAATGTAGAAAACTAAAAACAGGAACGTTGGAAGTTTACTGTGTTTTAAGAGGTGACAAACTTCTGCTCTGTTCATCTCTTTGCATTAATTACTACACGTGTTACTGCCTTTCACAAAATTTGCATGCAGATAAAAAAAACAGCAAGAAAATGAAGTTGTCAGAGGTGTATGACATATTTAGTGAAAGAGAATCTACTACTATACGAGTAATTATTTTACTTCTGGGATGACAACATGTCTTACAACAAAGCTCATGCTAAATATTTTTGCTGTTTTGTTGTATCATTGATAATGAGAATGCTTTCTGGGACACAATAAAGACGTCAGATGCCCTTTCATGTCTTGTTTTAACAGGAGTTTCATCACAGCAGCCGAGCGAGTCTTTGTGGATGATGTGCCACAGTGTCCACTTGGGGACATCAGCATCACAGAATGACTTTTTTTTTTACACTAAAAAGCTTTGTGCAAACATATCTTCATCATGTACAGATATACATCAATGACTTGCTGAGTATAAAAGCACATCTCATTAAACTGCAGCAGTATTAACAATTCAATTTGTGCCTATTGTACATACCATTATACTCCAGTTGAGCAGAGAAGAGTCTATTCTAAATACAGGAAGTATTAATGTGTGTCTAAGGCTGTCTATGTGTGAAGAAGAGGAGACTGTCGTCCAACAGATCACAAAAACCTAACGGGAGGGGAGGGAACACTGTGGTCAGGCCAAACATGGAGCAACTTGCTTTATCTTGTGGCTCACATCTCTCTAAGTGGCCTGAGTGACAACATTCAGAGATGAAAAGCTGTAAAATCTTGGGTTAGCGTCTTTCAAAAAGCCCACTACACTTTTCTTGAGGCTCGTCAGATATACCAGGGGACGCGTACGTCAATATGTTTGTGTGAACTTGGCATCGTGAAATATTGCGTCACCACAGTTCCTCATGTGTCCTGTCACAACAACCAATTCCCTTCCTGTACGTTTCAGGGCATGCTCAGAGCATGCCCTCCTACGCCCCTCCAGCTGGCCCCCCCAGAAGCCTGTTTCTATCTGCGTGGCCAGCCCAGCAATGACTCAGCATTGACCAACTACAGAACATGCACACGCTCATCTACACACATATACAGACACACACTTCCTCTCGCTGTATTCCTCTGGGGGCTCTGCCGTCTCTGTTCCCAGGGTTTTTCTTTTCTTTTTATCCTCCCCGCTTCTTTTTCTGATATGAGGATCTCCAGATGTGTGTGGATTCATGCTTCCTTTATTTTTACCTCAACTGAGGGCCCAAGGAAAACAAAAAGGCTAACGCAGTTTGGTATCTCGTTTGCTCTTATCCAGGACCTCTAACCTCAAATTGATGCTTGTTATTGTATTATTGTTTTGCAAAACAGCGTTCTGCAGGTGACAGCAAAAAAAGAGCAAGTTCAGACAGATGAAAACAGAAAACACTTCTGCAAAACGTCAATCAACACTCCTGCATTCTCTCCTTTCTTTCATTTGTTCTCTCTCTCTCACCTTCTATTCATCTACAAAACAGACATTCTTCTTTGTGAAGTGCCCGCCACCACCCTGATTGCTTTCTTTGAGTTTTTCATGTCCTTTACTGAAATCTGGGGCGGGTCTTTTGCACCGTGGATACCACATGCAGCCCAAACAAACTGCAGATAACCAAAAAAAAATTTTTTTTAAAGATGAACCTCATCCACTGCAACTCTTTAGACAACGCCACCAAAGTAGTCAACCCAAACGAATGTTACATGAGTGAGACATCTAATGCTGCAGCTTCACCGCTGTTGTTTAACGGGCAGAACAAATACTGACATCTGCCAACTGACGTGTGTTTTGTCTTTACTGGACTAAAATAAATAAATCTTTCTCAGAAACGTAGTATGCAACATTAATAGAAATGTGGTACAAGCTTATTCTGAGCCTCTAGTGTTTGAGGTTTGACATCTGGAGCTTAAATTGTCAAAACAATTTGGGTTTAATCTCTTTCTAAAGCTAAATTAACTCTCATTCTTTGGTTGTCAGAAAGAAGATCAACACCAAGAGGTGAAACGCAGTTCTCCTCCTTCCATGACTTTGTCACGCCAGTGTGAAAGTTAATCGTTATCATTACTTTTTTATGTGAATAGCCCAACACTGATTTTAATCAGGCAGGAAGGAAACAGGATGCGTTAAACTCTCGTGAATTGATCTCGAAGCACGAGTAACCTCATAACTCATGTCAGCTTATGGAGATGACTTGTAAGCAAACCTTAAATCAGCCTCAGGACATGTCAGGGCTTTGTGATGGTGTTGTGTCAGTAAAACGGGGGAGCAGCGGTCTGCCTGCAGAATCCTGAGACTTGCTGAGAGCAGAGCCAAATGTAATTTACTTGCCATCAGGATTTCTTTTAAAATGCATGCCCGCCAACACGACGCAAAAATATAATTGGAAAAAACAAAATAAATAAACAAATAAAGAAGGCATGCATGCAAAACCAGTTAATCAAAATCAAAATTTTCCAAATGCAAAAACTTTTATATAATTTTATATAATTATTTCTGGAACTTGTGGCAACCCAAGTGCAGGGAGGTCCTATTAATGTTGTGTGCCTGGTAAAAGCTCACACACCACTGTACTGCCTGCTGCTCTCGGGAACAGCTTCATGCATCAAACACACACACCAACTTTGGATCTTAGTTTGTAAAAACATACTTCTAAAATCTTAAATAGTTCCTTTTTTTTTTTTTTAGCTCAACAAAAACATGAAAAAAAAATTTCACAGTCAAACGTTACAATCATGAACTTTAAAAATTTACAATAGCTTGAACTCTTGGAGACGCATACTTCAAACTAATCTGTTTTCATTTTTTACTCAAAAAGTAAATGCCTTTACATATTTCTTATAAAAAACATTTACTGTCATTTAAGGACGCGATTCTCCGAGGCAGTGCTGGATGCATTAACAATTGTGCATTTAAATTGTTAATGGCCGAACCAGAGACCAAATGTAAAAGATTCACATCATGAATGAAAATGTTTTGATTAGAATCGAGCTGATTGCAAATAAAAATCGAAAATAAAAAAAGAGCAGGCAGACTGACAAAAATTGGCACAAAATCTAATTCTGGATCATTTGTGACATCCATAAAGAGATGTTTCACTCACACACAGGAACAATGCAAGTCAAACAATATGCACTAACTATTTAAACCATCTTATCTCACCTACTAACAATGGTACGGTTTGGAAATAGCTGCAAAGCAAAGAAGAGAAACTCAGATTATTATCAAACTTTAATATGAAGGAAAACAAATTGTCTTTGAAACGCTCACATTGCCTTCCAGATGTTAAAAATCTGTTTCCCCTCATAGAAATATTGGCATTAGTGTCACTACTGTCAAGTTTCCAAAACACAACCTGTGATATAATATTTAAAAAATTATTATTATTATTCTTTCGGCTGCTCCCTTCTTCAGGGGTCGCCACAGCGAACTAAGTTGCATGAAGACTTGGCAGTTGTTTTTACGCCAGATGTCCTTCCTGACACAACCACAGACCACTGAGCTACCACAGCCCCCTGTGTGGAGCAGAGAGCTCCATCTAGAGCGCCAGGGGGAGCAGATGGTGGGGGTTAAGGGCCTTGCTCAAGGGCCCAGAGTTGGGGGAAATGAGGGTGGGGACAGATGTGGGT